AACTCCAGGCAAACACTTCTTTATATGTCTTTGCTGCTGATTTCCTACCTTCACTTAATATGTCATCCATCGATTGGTTCACTCAGTATTTGCTCTAAAATAGCCCATTCATTTTCAAATCAAACCGTTAATTCTCTTTGGTTTCCTGTTTGTAAGACCGGTGGCTGCTATGCCTCCTATTCCCCCTGCCACTGGTCTTGGCACATCCCTTCTGTAGTTCTTTCTCCAGCAAGCAGGGATGTCATTCAGCCCCACTTTTAGTGGTGGGTAGCCCAAGACTCTCAGACACATTCAACATGTACAGGCCTAGTGTACCCACCCACATTCACCACAATTCCCTGTGGTTGATGGGAACTGTAGTTTCCTTTTACTGCAGAGAGAGAGGAGAGGATATGATGTAATCCCGGCTGTTACACCTCCTCCTTGGCAGAGCAGATGCTGTTATCTTTTGAAATTACAGAGATGAGGTTGTTATGCCGCCTGGCAGAGTCTCTAGCAGCCCACCGCACGGACGCTCCCAGGGCGCGGGGTCTAAGTCCCAGCCTGCTGTTCACCAGGGCCCCTGATGGTGGGGATGGACTTGGTGCAGACTGAAACCAGGTCGCGACCCCCGAGTGCGTCCTGGGGTGGTAGAGAATACTGACAGGGGAGTGCAGGAACGGAATCTACTTTGGAAGAGGCAGACAGATACACAGGTCTGATCCAAACCGGATGGATGGATGGATACGGTATGCGTGGTCAGACAGGCCGGGTCGGTATTATGCGGGCAGCGAGGTACAGAGGAGCGAGCTAAGAATGGTCAGGTCACAAGCCAGGTTCAGCAGGATGCGGGCAAATACAGTACCAGGGATCAGACAGAAGAGTAGTCAGGCAAGCCAGGGGTCAAACAGGAGAGAGCAGGATCAGGAACAAGCAGAGGTCGGCAACGGAGTATACAGCAACACAGGAACAGGATACAGGACACAGGATACAAGACCAAACGGCAACTAACATACCTGTTCCTACGTTTAAATAGCCCGCCTCCCGCTGTCATTGGTGCCAGGCGCGCGTCCGTGATCCCGAGTGCGCATGCGTGAACCCGCCGCTGCCATGCGTGGCCAGGTCCTACCGCCCGCCGGGTAGAGAGAGTTGGTGTTCTGCACATGCGCCGCCCGACGCGATGCCGCAGAACACCTGGATCCTGACAGAGGTCTTTAAAATTCAATTAGACTTTTCTCCTAAATGGTAAGGATTTTCTAAATTTCATTAACTGTTTGGTGTTTTGTGTAAGAGGTGTACCAATGGTGATTTTTTTTTGCTTATCCCAGAGTTCTTCTTTACTGCATAGAATACATTAAGGTAAAAAATGTTTTACCATTACAACCACTTTAAATTCCTCCATCTACAATAACTATTCCATCTACATTAGACAGCGTTAATAGAGAAATCTGCACTGCTGGCTATTGTATTCAGATAGACACAGCTCCCGCACTGTCTGATCACCTGAACAGTGACTGCATCCAATAGGATACAGCCACTGTTAAGCTGATAATTTTCCACCTTAGGCTACGTTCACACTAGCCTTGTGTGCAGGCGGCAGAGAGGCGTTTGGGAAGCGTTTTTACCGCTTCCCAAACGCCTCTGCCAATTCTGCACATTACAGCACATGGTGCTGTTCTAACGGGAGAGTTTGCGTCGCATCGCGGCAAAATGGACGCCTCTGGACGAGTCAGGAGGCTTTGAAGCCTCCTATTCTCGTCTATGGTGCCGCTCCGCAAACGCCCGTCCGGCGTTTGCGGTGCGGTTGCGACGCGGTTGCGGGGAGTTTGCGGAGCGGTAACACCACTCAAACTGCATTATAGGCGTTTGTGGGGCGTTATTAACGCTCAGCAAACGCCTAGCAACCGCCGCTAAACCGCGCGCATGCGGCGTTTGCCGAGCGTTAAAAAACGCTCCGCAAACGCCGGACCAACGCTTGCCAAACGCTATAGGGGCGTTTGACAAGCGTTGGCAAAACAGCCTAGTGTGAACAAGCCCTAACTCAGTCAATATTTAAACTGACTTTTGTTGAACCAGGTGGTGCCAATTGTGCCCCCCCACAGCTAAAATTTTAGCCAAGTCAGCAGGAAACTCCTAAAATTTAAGCTGTGTCTGGATAACTTTTAATCTTTTAAAAGTCTATATTGGTAATATAACATAAACGCATTTTATGGGTTTCGGTGGAATAAACAAAACAGGTGATATTGACAATTGTATCCCCATACCACCACAATGCCCTTTCCACACAGGCCATGCCCAGTGCGATCAGGTAGGGGGATCTGTTCAATGAACATTTAAAGCAAAACAGAGTGGGTGTCACTTTTGGGAAATCCATGGCCATTCATTTTTTTTTTTTTTTTTTTAAAACCAGGACTTTCCTGGCCCATATTAGATTAATGGGCATATGGATGCAAACTGACTCGTGTCCAGGGGCAGACTGACCATTTGGAAACTTGGGCACTGCCCGAGGGCCCGGGGTCAGTAGGGGGCCCCATGAGATGCCTCTGGTACCTTTTTCATAGGCTTTTTTGAGTTTGGGCAAGGACACAGGGGCCCCATGATCCCCTATTGCCCGGGGGCCCCATGAGTTCTCAGTCCGCCCCTGCTCGCGTCCATCTGATTACCTCCAATTCAATCACAATTAGGTCTGAAAACACAGGAAAGGATGCAGACCACTTGCTTTTTTTCCCTCCATATCTGTACTGACTCAGAGAAAATCAGATGTAAAACGGAGGCAAGTCTGGTGACACCCAGTCGCCCATAGACAAACGTAGCTTCTGATCTGGTCTGCCTGAAAAAATGACAGGCGGATTAGATCAGAAACCCATGTATAAGAGGCCTTAAAGTGGTTATAAAGCTCAGATATGAAATATGTACAAAGTATATCCCTCTATAGCGTGTGCTTGTCTCAAGAGCACGAAGTGCCATTTCTGTCTGCTGCATCGTTCCTTAGCCACCAGTGTGAATCACTTCTGATAAGTCTTCCTGACACCAAGAGAAAAAAGGTGACAGGAGTGATCTCCAGCACACAGCCTGTGATTGACAGTCTCAGCTCTGTTTCTGTGAGCTGTGTGGAGGGGCGGGAGGGGTGTTCCTTCCAATCATTTCCTTGCTGAGCTACGTAGTGGTTCGCCACCCTCTGCTTTCTGACAGCTCAGACAAGCTTTATAAATTCTTGACTTTAAATGGATGTAGAGAAGAGAATAAACAGGTACAGCTCATGTAAGAGGATTTGTTTCATCTCTGTGCATCACTTGAAGACAGTCATTTCACTGGGTATTTGGAAGAATTTACAACCACTGTAACATGTGGGAGAAGTGGGGGGTATCAGAGGAGCTGCATGAAACAGGGCCGATCTGCACCCCAAATCAGTGCACGCTCTGAGGACAGCTTTATGCTACAATCACACTTCTGCATTTTGGGTCTGGAAGAGTTTCAGCACGGTGTGTTTTTAAAGGTATGTGTTACCCAGGGGCGGACTGACCATTTGGAAACTCGGGCACTGCCCGAGGGCCCGGGGTCAGTAGGGGGCCCCATGAGATGCCCCTGGTACCTTTTTCATAGGCTTTTTTGAGTTTGGGCAAGGACACAGGGGCCCCATGATCCCCTATTCCCCGGGGGCCCCATGAGTTGTCAGTCCGCCCCTGGTGTTACCCCAAGATTTTCTTATGTTACAATTTATTTCTATTGAAGATGCATTTCACTTGAAGCTGCACCTGCAAAACAAAAACCTTGAGAGATGTGAACACATTTTTGTATTTCTGATTAAATGAAAAATGTCTCACTTACATGAAGGCTCATTTCCAGTGTTCTTGTTCCAAAGTACACTCTGCCCCCTCCCGTTGCCTCTTTGCTTCCAGCATCGGCCTCCTCCTCTCCATGCCCCCGAATATTGATTTCCTCCTCCACCACCTCTCCAACCTCTTGATCCTCCTCTCCAGCTCTGACTCATTCCATAGCATTAGAAATGACTCAAACAGCAATACATCTCTCTGTAAATCAAAGGGAGACAGGAAAAAAAAATGATTGGGCTGAAGCTGGAATGCAAGGAGCAGCGATATTCTTAGTCTTCTCTGTTTAATCTTTTATGCAATTCTATCATTATTTCTAATGTTTATAAACAAAAACTATTTTAAGACGCTGTATACAGGCTGTACCTGGGCTGTTACTAACAGCCATGACCACAGTGATATAGCTTGAAGCCGAAGACCTTTACTTTCAGCTGCAAACACAGGTTTACCTTTTAAAAAAGGAAAAAAAAAAAAAAAAAAGGTTTCTCTGTCCTTAAGGTAAAAGTCTACAGAACCTTTTTTCTTTTTTTAGACTACTAAAATCATTAAAAGTACAACTAAAGGCAATTTTCTTTTTCATTTTGGATGTTTTTTTTCCCCCATGTCTGTCCCATTGGGTAGATTTCCCTTCACTTCCTGTCCCATAGCCAAACAGGAAGTGAGGGAATCCCTGGTCGTCACCAGAACTAGTGTCCCCTTCTATTACTGCTCTGGTGACTACCCAAAATTTGGGATTTTTTTACTTTCACCATCATTGATAATGGTAAAAAGGAAAAATAGAGAGGGTGAATCTCCCTAAGGGGCACAGTCAGCAATAAAGGCCACATTGGTTCTATTCCCTCTCCAATCTAATCAAAACAAAAAAGTTTTGCCTCTAGTCCTAATTTAAAGTGTTACTAAACCCAGTCTGTATATGCAGTAAAGCATGCTTGCTATACTCACTGTGGAACCTAAGAGGTTAATCCTCTGCATTGTGTAAAAAGACTGTTTGATTCTGTCTTCTCTGATCCTCCCCTTCTTCCAGTTATATTGTGTGGAATCACTCTGCACGTGCTCAGTTTGGTGTGTATTGCTAGAGTTTTTTTTTTCCTTGGGAGGGTGCATGTGATCAGCACAGGGCCAATTAGCACTGTCCAGACAGCGCTCCTGCATCCTCCTAAAGCAGAATGAAAACTCCTCCTACAAGCTTTAACCAGTCCGGGTTAAAGGGTCCGGGGAGAGCGGATATAGTGAATGCAGGGTCCGGGGAGAGCGGATATAGGGGATGCAGGATCCGGGGAGAGCGGATATAGTGAATGCAGGGTCCGGGGAGAGCGGATATAGTGAATGCAGGGTCCGGGGAGAGCGGATATAGGGGATGCAGGGTCCGGGGAGAGCGGATATAGTGAATGCAGGGTCCGGGGAGAGCGGATATAGTGAATGCAGGGTCCGGGGGGGACCAGATATAGTGAATGCAGGGTCCGGGGAGAGCGGATATAGGGGATGCAGGGTCCGGGGAGACTGGATATAGTGAATGCAGGGTCCGGGGAGAGCGGATATAGTGAATGCAGGGTCCGGGGAGAGCGGATATAGTGAATGCAGGGTCCGGGGAGAGCGGATATAGGGAATGCAGGATCCGGGGAGACCAGATATAGTGAATGCAGGGTCCGGGGGGGACCAGATATAGTGAATGCAGGGTCCGGGGAGAGCAGATATAGTGAATGCAGGGTCCGGGGGGGACCAGATATAGTGAATGCAGGGTCCGGGGGGGACCAGATATAGTGAATGCAGGGTCCGGGGGGGACCAGATATAGTGAATGCAGGGTCCGGGGGGGACCAGATATAGTGAATGCAGGGTCCGGGGGGGACCAGATATAGTGAATGCAGGGTCCGGGGGGGACCAGATATAGTGAATGCAGGGTCTGGGGGGGACCAGATATAGTGAATGCAGGGTCTGGGGGGGACCAGATATAGTGACTGCAGGGTCTGGGGGAGACCAGATATAGTGAATGCAGGGTCCTGGAAGACCAGATATAGTGAATGCAGGGTCCGGGGAGACCAGAAATAGTGAATGCAGGGTCCGGGGAGACCAGATATAGTGAATGCAGGGTCCGGGGAGACCAGATATAGTGAATGCAGGGTCCGGGGAGACCAGATATAGTGAATGCAGGGTCCGGGGAGACCAGATATAGTGAATTCAGGGTCCGGGGAGACCAGATATAGTGAATGCAGGGTCCTGGGAGACCAGATATAGTGAATGCAGGGTCTGGGGAGACCAGATATAGTGAATGCAGGGTCCGGGGAGACCAGATATAGTGAATGCAGGGTCCGGGGAGACCAGATATAGTGAATGCAGGGTCCGGGGAGACCGGATATAGTGAATGCAGGGTCCTAGGTTTAGTAACACTTTAAGGGCTCATTTATACCTGCATCAGCAGTGGATCGTTTTTCACAGAGCTGTGTAGACATGGCTGACAGGCAATCTGGGTGTGATATTGCCACCTCCTGAATGGCTATTTTTTTTTTCTTCTGATGGGGGGGGGCTTTTTGAATGGGAATACTTTGTTGCAACTGTGAGGCTAGCCGATGCAGAGCAACCCCCGTTCACTTGAATGTGGCAGGAAGTGACAGGGTTGTGAGAGTAATAAAAATGCAGCCCAACCACATTTTTGTTCTACCCCCAACTACAGGTGTAAGCTAAGCCTAAGGTCTCATTTACATGGATGCACTTAAGCGTAACCCCGTGTGAGGGACATGTTTTCCCTGCATGACATGCCCAGGTGTTCCATGCATCTGTGTGCAGGCAGTTCCCCTTCATAACATTTGAGATGCAGTGGATGCACACACACAAATTCCACTAGAAACAAGGATGAAATTTCAACGCAATTAAATGGTTAGGCTCCTTTCACACTGATGGTCTGGTCAGGTCAATTTTTCAGCTGGACCCAATTGGACCATCCATAGCTCTCTATAGAACAGCGGGTGTCAGTTGACACCCGTCGGCATCCAATACGCTAAAACCAGATGGATGGGGATCCATTCCCCATCTGTCTAACAGATCAGATGACAGTCTGGTGGTAGCGGACAGGCAGTCCATTTCCATCCAACTGCCCAATAGAAAACAGCGGGCTGTGTCTGTGTCCACTCTGCATCAGCAGAGCAGACACAAACCTGTCATCCGCTTGCTTCGTGGGCATCAGCAGAGAGATCCTCCGCTGAGCAAGTGGATCTGCTGACAGGTCCGCCCCATGTGAAAGGAGCCTTAGGTTATCACCCATCCTAGGACATATAAATTGTGCTAGAAACCTGAAGATAGAGTAAATCCTTTGAATTCAATGCTATGTACAGTTGTGGCCAAAATTATTCAACCCCCAATGCTGTAAAGGGGTTTAGGGACTATAGTGTACATTTGGAATTGTATTCAGAATCAAATCCTACAAGGACGTTGTAACTACCCAAATGCAACTAAAATGACATCAATTGTTTATGTAATACAGTAGTAAATGGTTCTTATGTGGTTTCTTCATTGCCACAATTATTCAACCCCTTAAAGACTACCACTCTGAAGAACAGAGGTTCATACAGGTGCTTTCCATCAGGTATTGAAAACACCTGTGGATGTCACCGAGCAGCAATCAAGCATAATAAGCACCAATTAGGCAGCTTTAAAATGACTGTGATACTCAGCTCCTTCTAGACATTTACTGGTGTGGTTACAAACATGGTGAAGGCAAGAGAATGGTCCAGGAAGACAAGAGAAGAGGTGATTTCTCTTCACAGGAAGGGCAATGGCTATAAGAAGATTGCAAAGATGTTAAACATACCAAGAGACACCTTAGGAAGCATCATTCGCAAATTCAAGGCAAAGGGCACTGTTGAAACGCTACCTGGTCGTGGCAGAAAGAAGATGCTGACTTCGACTGCTGTGCGCTACCTGAAGCGTAGAGTGGAGAGAAGTCCCCGTGTGACTGCTGAGGAACTGAGAAAAGATTTGTCAGATGTGGGTACAGAAGTTTCAGCCCAGACAATAAGACGCACACTGCGTAATGAAGGCCTCCGTGCCAGAACTCCCAGGCGTACCCCCTTGCTGTCTCCAAAGAATAAGAAGAGTCGACTGCAGTATGCCAAAAGCCATGTGGACAAACCACAAAAGTTGTGGGATAGTGTTCTGTGGACTGATGAAACAAAATTAGAACTGTTTGGGCCCATGGATCAACGCTATGTTTGGAGGAGGAAGAACAAGGCCTATGATGAAAAGAACACCTTGCCTACTGTGAAGCATGGTGGAGGGTCAATCATGCTTTGGGGCTGTTTTGCTTCTGCAGGTACAGGGAAGCTTCAGCGTGTGCAAGGTACCATGAATTCTCTTCAGTACCAGGAGATATTGGATGGAAACGTGATGCAGTCCGTCACACACCTGAGGCTTGGGAGACGTTGGACCTTTCAACAGGACAATGATCCCAAGCATACCTCCAAGTCCACTAGAGCATGGTTGCAGAGGAAAGGCTGGAACATTTTGGAGTGGCCATCGCAGTCACCAGACTTAAATCCGATTGAGAACCTCTGGTGGGACTTAAAGAAAGCAGTTGCAGTGCGCAAGCCTAAGAATGTGACTGAACTGGAGGCCTTTGCCCATGAAGAATGGGCGAAGATACCCGTAGATCGCTGCAAGACACTTGTGTCAAGCTATGCTTCACGTTTAAAAGCTGTTATAACTGTAAAAGGATGCTGTACTAAGTACTAAGATTGAATGTCACTTGGGGGTTGAATAAAAACTGATAATGCTGTGAGCACAGAAAAGACATTTGTGGTTATTTCATTATAACTGTTATGTTATATTTGTCTGACCTACAAGTGCCTCTTTAATGTAAATGTAAGCAAGATGACTGAATGATCAAAAGCAATGTCAAACTGGCCAAAACACTCAATTTCAGTGGGGGTTGAATAATTTTGGCCACAACTGTATTGTGTTGCTCTCCCTGCATGCTCGTATAATAAATACATCGACTTTTGATACCGGCTTCAGCAGTCAAAGATGTTACTGAACCCCCATAAGCTTGGGTTTTGCTGTCACACATACTTTAATATTTTGTTACAAACAGATTCATAAATAAATAATGAACATTTTGGAAACATGAATTGCAATTTATAATAAATATTTAATGTTCATGCATATCTTATGTTGCCACAGCTGGCAATAGCGGACTCAAAATGTGTTTTTCATGCAGTGGTTCACATCATTGAGTATGCGCAAGAACATTTAGGGGTACACAAAAAAACTTGAATAATGGCTGTAAAAGGCAGTGATGTACCTAGGGGGATGCGGTCCATTTTGTTTTAAATAAATGAAAACAAAAGTTTCACTTGGTACCAGGGGCGGACTGACAACTTATGGGGCCCCTGGGCAATAGGGGATCATGGGGCCCCTGTGTCCTTGCCCAAACTCAAAAAAGCCTATGAAAAAGGTACCAGGGGCATCTCATGGGGCCCCCTACTGACTTCAGGTCCTCAGGCAGTGCCCGAGTTTCCAAATGGTCAGTCCACCCCTGCTTGGTACAGCCCTGGCCAAACGTTTTGAGAATGACACAAATATTAATTTTCACAAAGTCTGCTGCTTCGGTGTTTTTAGGTCTTTTTGTCAGAGGTTACTATGGTATACTGAAGTATAATGACAAGCATTTCAGAAGTGTCAAAAGGCTTTTTACTGACAATTACATTTAATTTATGCAAAGAGTCAATATTTGCAGGGTTGGCACTTCCTTTTTCAACACGTCTGCTATTCGCCCCGGTGTGATATCAATCAACTTCTGGGTTACATACTGACTGATGGAAGCCCATTCTTGCCTAATCAATGTTTGGAGTTTGTCATAATTTGTAGAGTTTTTTTTTTTTTTTGGTGCACCCGCCTCTTGAGGATTGACCACAAGTTCTCAATGGGATTGAGGTCTGGGGTGGTTCCTGGCCATGGACCCAAAATATTGTTTTGTTCCCCAAGCCACTTAGTTATAACTTTTGCCTAACGGCAAGGTGCTCCATCATGCTGGAAAAGTCATTGTTTGTCACAAAACTGTTCTTGGATGGTTGGGAGGAGTTGCTCTCGGAGGATGTTTTTGTACCATTCTTCATTCATGTTCTTGTGAGTGAGCCCACTCCTTTGGCTTAGAAACTGCTTTACTGTTGGCATGACACAGGACTGATGGTAGCTCTCACCTTTTCTTCTGTGGACAAGGTTTTTTTTCCGGATGCCCCAAACAATCGGAAAGGGATTCATCAGAGAAAATTACTTTACCTCAATCCTCAGCAATCCAATCCCTGTACCTTTTGCAGAATATCAGTCTGTCCCCGATGTTTTCCTGGAGAGAAGTGACTGCTTTGCTGCCCCTATTTGACACCAGGCCATCCTCCAAAATTCTTCGCTTCTCTGTGCGTGCCGATGCACTCACACCTGCCTGATGCCATTCCTCAGCAAGCTCTGCACTCGTGGTGCCCCAATCCAGCAGCTGAATCATCTTTAGGAGACGGTCTTGGCGTTTGCTGGACTTTCTTGGGCACCCTGAAGCCTTCTTCACAACAATTGAATCTCTCTTCTTGAAGTTCTTGATGATCCGATAAATGGTTGATTTAGGTGCAAT